CATTTCTCCTTCAAACACTGCAATGGTTTATGAAGTAGAACTAGCAACAATGCAGAGAAAAGGAGATGCAGACTTCCCTGAGGCCAGCAGCCCACGTGGTCACTGCCGGGTTCTCCGGGATCTCAGCCCTCTCTGCTCGCCACACAGACGCCGCGGTGACCCCAGAGCAGAGGCTGAGCTCTCGTTTGTCCATCTGCCTACCATAATCCCCCCGGAAACGCAGACCCCGTGCCGGCACGTGCTCTGAAGTCTCCACCTTTGACGACTTCGCCCTCATCCCACATGGTTATTTCACTGTTCAGAGCTTCATGAGACCTGGGAACAGGAGCACTTCCTCGTCTGCTCAAACCAACTGAACAAGAAAGTCCCTAGGCCTCTCCAGGTCGGAGGACACAGAGCGCAGACCTTATGTAAGTGGTGGCGATCCCTTTGTGTGGATCTCAGTTTCAGGCTGGCGGAGGGTGGGCAGCTCACGGGAAGGACTGAGGCTTGGACTTCAGTGTGGACAGTCGACTGAGTGCTGGCCCTGCGCCTCCCACCGGGGAAACAGGGAAGTCACCGAACCCTTAATGGAGATAAGACTCTATTCACCTGAAAAGCTAAGGTGACAAGGGTAATCACTCTTCTAAGGTTCCTTGGAGGTTGCAGGTCATTGGTTGGCTTGAATGTTTAATCCATGGTAGGGACAGAAAAACACAAACGCATCAGGCAGCAATAGGAAAACAGTCCCCTCTCTCCCCCCCATTTCCTATGACGCCTTTTCCATTTAATACTTCATGTTTGGAGGCTTCTGCTGGATCTCTCTGGGCGCGTCTGCCTGGAGACCGTGGAGAGACGGCAGAATAAGGAAACTGATGCTTTTTAAAAACAACTACTCATGAGAATCTGAGAAGGGGCAACAAATTATAAAAACACTAATATGTGTTTTAAAATCCTTCTTTTTCAACAAAGGTTTTTTTTGTGTGTTTTCTTTTAATTAAACAACTCATAATTCAAACACAGTTGTCAGGCAGCCTCAGTCAAATTCAGCAGAGGGAAGCCCTGTGGCTCGGGTGACCTGCAGGCAGTCACCTTGCTGGGGACATAGCTGTTAAGGGTTGGTGTAATAAAGTCATTTTATTAAGAGTCGAGACATGAGTCCCTCAGAGTTGTACAAAATAATCAGTAATTTGGAAAAAAAGAGAGATGGGAAAATTTATAAAGAGAAAAATAGCAGCGTTACTTTGGAGATTTGAAGGAAGTGGCGTGGGCAAGAGATAATTTTAGAAATTAGAATCTAAAGTCAGTGGAGAATAAAGTGGAATAATTTATTATGTCCACAAATGTAGATTTTAATGAATTGATTAACATTCATTACTAATCTCTAACAAAGTAAAGTATTTTCATATTCTCTTTCCACCACTGAGCATGTAATAATGACCTGCAGTGACCTTTCTTGATGCACCTACCTGCTGAAGGACACATGGGTTGTTTCCACGTCTTGATTATTGTGAGTAACACTGCTGTGATGAACATGGGAGTGCAGGGATATCTTCACAATTCTGATCTCATTTCCTTTGAACATGTACCCAGGACTGGGGTTGTGGATTGTATGATGGTTAAACTTCTAAGTTTTGAGGACCCTCCCTCCATACTGTTCTTCGTAGTGGCTGCAGCAGTTTAGATTCCCATCAACAGTCTATGAGGGTTCCCTTTTCTCTACATCTTTGCCAATACCTGTCTCCTGTTTTTGATAATAGCCATCCTAACAGGTGTGAGGTGAAATCTTGTTGTGGCTTTGATTTGCACTTCCCTGATGATCAGTTATGTTGAGCACATTTTCATGTACTTTATGGCCATTTGGATACCTTCTTTGGAAAAATATCTCTGCAGGTCCTTTGCCCATGTTTTAATTGGCGCTTTTTTTTTTTTTTGCTGTTGAGTTGTATGTGTTTCTTATATATTTTTCCATTAACAGCTTATCAGATACTCAGTTTGCGAATATTTCATCCTGTTATGTAGATTGCCTTTTCATCTTGTTCCCTTTGGTGTGCAGAGCTTTTCATTTAATATAGTCCCACTTGTTTAGTTTGACTTTGTTGCCTGTGATTTGGGTGCCATATCCAAAAAATCATTTTCAAAACCAATAACAAGAAATATTTTCCCTTCACTTTCTTCTAGAAGTTTCATAGTTTCAGGTCTTAAGTCTTTCATGCATTTTGAGTTGATTCTGTGTGTGATGGAGGGTTCAATTTCATTCTTTTTATGTGGATGCCCAGTTTTCCCAACACCATTTATTGAAGAGACCATCCTTACCCCATTTGTGTGTTCTTGGTGGTCAGTTCCACTTCTGGAGTTCTTTGAGTGGCCATTAGTGAGCATTATGTTGCCTGTCTTAAAATGTGTTTATCCTGCAATCACCTTTGGATATAGCTTAGCTGTGCATAGAATCGCAGGTCGGTATTTCCTTTCCTTCACAACTTACAGGACATTGCTGTGTCGCCTTCTGGTCTCTAAGGCTGCTAAGTCAAATTCTACTGTTAGCTTAACTGTCGTTTCAAAGAGAGGCATAAATAAGTTGTCTTTACCCTCTAGTTCACATCTAGGTCACCTGATGCGAAGAAATGACTCATTGGAAAAGATCCTGATGCTGAGAAAGATTGAAGGTGGGAGGAGAAGGGGACGACAGAGAATGAGATGGCTGGATGGCATCACCGACTCAATGGACATGAGTTTGAGTAAGCTGGTGATAGACAGGGAGGCCTGGCGTGCTGCGGTCCACGGGGTCACAGAGTCGGACACGACTGAGCGACTGGACTGAGCTGACCCTCTAGCACTAGTTGCAATTTTCACTTTGCCTTGGACATTCTGAAACGTTCCTGTGATAGTCTTAGGTGTGGGTTGTATTTATACAACCCTGTGCAGGACTTCGTGTGGTCCTTCAACAGCGTCTTTCCTTCTCTGGACGCCAAGCAGCAGGGTCCGCCCCCCATCCCTGCAACCCCTCCAGCACGTATGCGATGAAGACACAGGACCTGTCACTGAATCCTCACCAGCCCCTAACTTCTCCTTTCTGTTCCCCCATCTCTGTGTTTCACGTTCTCAAAGGTCTCCTCGTATGTAAAGATCTTCTAATTATGGAACCCTCGTTTTTGGTTGTGTCTAGAATAAAGTTTATATTTTCCATTCAACTTTTATATAAATGACTATATGTATATTTTCTAAAATATCTCTCCTTTCTCTTTGTAGAAACTTATGTCACCGGAATGTAATGACACTAAAACCCTACATCAGCTCCTTCTCATCTTTTGTACTATTATTGTCATAGATTTTATCTCGACATATGTTGTAATTCCCAGAGGATGTTGTTATGATTTTTATTTCAAACCTTCAAGTGCCTTTTATAAACACCAGAAGAGAAAAGCACAGTGACACCTCCGCACACAGAGGTACTACTTTTGGCGCCCTTCAGCCTCCTCTTAGATCTGACTTTCGTCATTTTCCTCCAGCCTGAACAGCTCCCCAAAGCATTTACTGTGGTTTGGGTCTGGTAGGAACATCCGCTCATCTTTTGTTATCTAAAAATGTACTTTCCCTACCTCCCTTTGAATGGGGAAGAATTCTAGTTTGTTTTTTTTTTCTTTTCTTTTTGGCATCTTTTTCTTTCGTGTAAATGCTTCCCTTGATGGCCTCCGGCCTCTGAGCCCGGGTGCCAGGGGCTGTGGGAGGGCGGCTCCGGCTTCTCGGGGTCTGGATGCTGTCTTCATCCTGCTCTGGACCAGAAGGGGTCCAGGCCTCAGGGCACTTACAGGAACAGCATCTCTACAGGTAAATGCTGCCACCCCCAGGGGGGCAGCCCCTGACACCCTCCAGCTCCAAGCCTCTAAGTGGAGAGTGGTAGCCTCTCAGGCACACTGGGCCACACGAGGGTCATCCTCAAGCTGCCCGCGGGCCCAGGACCCCCGACGGCTGTTCCACGGTCTCCGTCCTGCTCAGTGCTGAGGGCTGCACACGGGGAGGTCCTTGTTGCAAGCGACCGCATCCCAAACCTCCCACCTCCCTTGACTGGGTGTGCTGCCTGGGGCCCGCCGGGCTGACTCCCAGGACTGGAGATGACTTTGTTAAGTTCTAGAGACTGAGCTTCCATCCTAAAGGAGATCAGTCCTGGGTGTTCATAGGAAGGACTGATGCTGAAGCTAAAACTCCAATACTCTGGCCACCTGATGTGAAGAGCTGACTCATTGGAAAAGACCCTGATGCTGGGAAAGATTGAGGTCAGGAGGAGAAGGGGACAACAGAGGATGAGATGGTTGGATGGCATCACTGACTCAATGGATATGAGTCTGAGCAAGCTCTGGGAGTTGGTGATAGACAGGGAGCCTGGCGTGCTGCAGTCCATGGGGTCGCAAAGGGTCGGACACGACTGAGTGACTGGACTGAACTGAACTGAGGCTGGGCTGGGCTTCAGTGCCTGCAGCCATGTTTGCTCCCTGGGGCAGCTCAGCTCCTGGTGGGTCCCCGAGGAAGGACCTGTGGGTTCCTGGGACAGAAAGTCACAGAAGGGAAGGAGTGGGAGGGGACTGTGGTCCTCTCATCCAGGTGAAATTCTTCTGACATTGCATTTGGTGTTTTCAAGGACAGTCTCCCACTCCCCTCCCTATCTTCCTTCTTCTTGGAGAAACCTCCAAACACATGACTCTCCTCTTAGCCAAACTGAACTGAGGATACGAACAGAGCTGGGACAACCTCAATCTCTAAACCATTCTCAGCTGTTAGAGTTTCTGAGGAGCACACCTGCGTTCCCTTACCAAGTGCTTTTCGTGCCAAAAATACAAGATCAACTTCCCCTTGAAGTCACAGCTGGCGATGGACGAGAAGCCTCATTTCAAAGTAGGTTTGAGGATGTCACTGTCGCAGCCGACCGGGGAGGAGGTTGGGCCGGTATCCCGGGTGGACAGGGAAAGGAGGGAACCCAGTGCACTTGGTTTTTCCTAAGGACGCCCCTCCTGCCCTGCTTGCAGGAATCCAGCATCAGAGCCCAAAGGCGGAGCAGGGGTGTCCAGAGGAGGCAGAGGAGAGCTGTCGCTGGGAGCGGCCTCTGAGAGCCGACACCGGGGGCCGGGACGCGAGAGACGGCTCGGGTCATGGCCACAGGCAGGTCCGCGGACACCAGGTGAGGGCCGCAAGCAGGGCGTACCTGCCGGGTAAACCAGGACACGGGCTGGAAGCACGTGTGCATCCTGGCTGCTGTCTGCACTGCTGTTTGCTCTCTTACACATGTCCCTGACCACAGCTCAGCTAGGTCTTGTCGTCCCAACTACTCTCAGACCCCAAAGACGAGTGTTGCCATTGACTCGCGCAGTGTTTAATTTGATAAGAAAGAGGATAGCGGGCTGATTCCATCGCAAACTTGTGTTCTGCTTTGTTCTTATGAAACAGCACTTTCCCACATTCATGCTTATTTACATTCCCTCCTAACTCATTAACCAGACTCTGGCTGAGCACCATGTGGCTTCGGGGTTAGCTCCTAGAGTCCTAGAGTTGCGTGGACTCTAGGGACCCTAGGAGTCGGGGAGATGCGTGTTATTGGCTATTCTGTGCTGTTTGCAGGACAAACAGGGCGCAGAGGTTGAGGAGCTGCCCTCGGTCCCTTCTTGTGAGTGGAAGGTGGGCCTAGAAATGGGGTCTGTCTGCCCCACAGACTCATCATTATAGCCAAGATTGTTACAAGAACGTTAAATATAAAAGTTACTTAGAGGAAGATTATAAGGAATTCCCTGGAGTCCAATAACTGTGGTTTACCACAACCATCTCGGTCTGGATCAGCCCTGGTCTACATGGAGTGTCTGTGGGGTGCAAACGGGCCCAGGGTTTGGGAGGAAAAGACGGTCTGGTGAGGGGGAAGAGGAGACACCACAGGCCTCTCTGTTGCCCACGGCGCCCACCTGGCGCCAGGCATGCACCACGGGGCTCTCAACACGTGCAAGGAAAGCAACAGGGCTGTTTCTGATTCTAATTAGCACCTCCCAAGCATCCAACTCTCTGTCTCTGTCCCTGAGAGGCTCAGAGACATGGGGCCACATGACGGAGATCAATAAAAAACAAACCCAGTCTCAGATGAAATCGCTACCAGTCACTCCAAGTGATACATGGATCACTGAGCTTCCATGTAAACGAGCAGTGGGATGTGGTTTCAGGCGCCTGTAGCAAAGTCTGCCTTTCCTTACCAGCAGTGTTTCAGGGTGACCAAGGAGCCAAGCTTGGCAAGAAATAGGAGGAACTTGGTTCTGTTCTAACGTGGCCACCAGCTGGGGGCACAGGGCAAAGGATACTCACGTGTTCTTGGGGTCTGACATTCTAGGGTGATGTCAGCGGTGCTCTGTGAAGGGTGAGCTGCAGCCTGACTTCTTCACGGAGGAGGGACCTGCTGAGGTTTGTCCAGGATGCATGTGGACGCGCCGCCTCACGCAGGGGCTCACAGGGCTATCAGCTTTTAATTCATTTTCTCCAACAGCGGTCATGCAAGTGAGAGTGCACGTGGCCCCTGAAAAGGGCAGAGGCCATGGGAATCAGCAGGGAATCCTCCTGGGAGAAGGATGCTAAAGGATGCTAAATGTGAGGGGAAGCAGGCCCTGTGCTGCCCGGGTCCAGATCCGGGTCCACCTGAGACGGAGGAGGGCGTTAGGTTGGGGTGGAGGTGGGGTGAGGGTGGGGGTAGGGAGAGTATGGGGGCTGGGGGTGGACGGGGGTGAAGGGGGCGTCTGCTCTGCACGTCCACACACACACACACACTTCCCCGGCCTTCTGTCGTTTGCGCAATGGTGGTAACAGTGTCCCCTGTGCTCGACAGCTAACGCACTAGACATGATTGGCGCCACGAGGCATGTGTGGGAAGCCCCGGGGTGTCTGCTCATGGGTGAAGGCACGGGCAGTGGGCCGAGGGCCGCTCAGTGGGGGGTCAACACCGCCCCACTGTGAACAGCCGTGAACCATCGAGAAAAACCCAAAGCAAAGGGACTGTGCAGTCCACACCTTTCCTGGAGCTGAGCCAGCATGACGGGAGGCTCGGGGGATCTGAGCACAGGCCGAGGGGAGGGCCGGGTCTCATGGGGGCCAGGGGCCACCTGAGGTCCAGGAGCTGTGGGTTTCCCCTGAGAACTGGAGGCAGGGGACAGGGAGGCTGTTAGCACTCAGATCAGCTCCTGCTCAGAATGAAGCTTCACCTCCTCCCAGTTGAATGCACATCTGGAGATTCAGGGACCGGGCGGGGGGGAGTCACTCCTCACCTGCCCCCTCTGTGCAGGCGGCCGAGCCCATGGGCTCAGCTGCGGGGCAGGACCCGACCTGCAGCACCTCCTGCCTCCTGACCCCCCAGCAATCAGGACTCCTGACTGCAGAGACTCGTCTCCAAGATGGGAGTCTTTTCTCTGAAACATTTGGTTCTAAAGGTGAACCTTCACCCAGCTCAGCCAGAAAGCCACTTCTGTTGGTACACTGGGGTTCATCCCTGAACCCGTCCCCACCAGTGCACTGCTCCTGTCTCCTTGGTTAGCGCTCCCTGGCTCTGCGGCAGTCTCCTGGATGCTCCAGCAACCTTGGTAGGTAGCTGACATTTGTAGAAGAACTATCAAGTTTCAAGGCAGTGAAATGCCTGGGACCCAAATATTTGAACTCGATGGAAAGGATGCCTCCCGATGGATGTGAGGGGCGCGTCCAGACCAGTCATCCCCAGGGCCATGTGTCACGGCCCCTGGAAGTCTGCCAAGTCCCCAGCCTGGCTGCTTCTTCCAGCAAGGGACTTCCCTCTTCACCATGAGCTTTCATCTGAAAAGGCAATTCACTGCCTTAGACCAGGGGTGCCGAGTGGATGAGCTCAGAGGCTCCTGTGAGACAGTGTCCGCTCCCTCACTGAGCTTCACTTTGGGAGCATGTCTGGAGACCGTGTGATTCTCTGTGAGCTTTTGCAGGGGTGCTTGGCCACTGACTTCCGAGGAGCAGTGGGAAAGGTCTTGCCAGCCAGATGCTTCTCTGCATCATTTGCCCACTGATTGCTGGAACTTCACGTGAGACGGTCAGTGCGAAAGACCAATGACCTTGACCCTGGCCTCGACGCAGGGTCAGCTCTGAGCCCTTTGCCGGAGGAGGAAGGGGCCTCATGCACCTGCCTCACGGGCCCCTGCATGGGCAGAGGATGTGATGGGTGGAATCTTCTCACACCGGGCGAGTCACGTACAGTGGATTCCGAGACACCCACGAGGAAAGAGGAGGCACAGGGCACCCGGAATCACAGGGAACGTGGACGTTCTGGCACGCGGCCAGTGAGAAAGTCAAGTGCAGGATGTGGGTTGTGGCTGGCAGTTGTTGGTTCATCCTGAGTCGGCAGCAAACACACCCAAGTTGATCTTAGCAGCCATCCTGGAAGCAAACCACACCTGTGGTATTTTATTCAATGTGGGGCAACACACTTCTCATGTTCTACAAGAGAAGTGTGAAACTAGAATGCGTACTGAATAAAACAACAGGGTGACAAGTGTCCTCAAAGCCTATCCTCTGAGGACTAGTGAAGGAACTAGATTGTTTTGCAATGAAATGAGAAAAGAAAACCAACGCTCTTGAGGGGCAAAGTGAAGGTCACAGTTGGATCAAGAGAACTGTTTACAAATACATGCAGGTGCCGGGTAGAGTGTGGCTCGGCTCTGAAATAACAGGACCCAAAGATGAGAATGAACTCAGAGCTGCTCAGCGGAGCACCCACCGCCTTGGGGTGGACGTGACACCCGCGGACGTGGCAGGTGGTCACACACAAAGTCTCCAGATTCATAAACCACAGATGTTTGTATTCTGACCACCTAACTAAAGTCCCATCATGTAAGAAAAGATACTCCTTAAACCTGTGGAAGTAGGAAAGTAGTGCGCAAAATGTAAACACACACACCACACCCGTCCATACTTTATGTAAGCTTCAGGCCACAGTGCACGGGAAAATGCTTCTCTTAGCACAGGAAGCCATCAGAATCAGCTGTGGGCAAGTGTAGGAGCATGGCCTTTGGGCCGAAAATTCAGTCTGGAGCGAGTCTCCCCTGTGTCTGCCACCCACTCTTTGCTCTGGGTTCTGTTGCAACTCTCGTGTCTGTTAACACAGAGAGTCGCGCGTGGAAATACCTCGGTCAAGGACCTTCAGAGAACCACCAGCGGGCGCCCTAAACGCTGCGCTTTCTCCCTTCTGGCAGGCAGAGGGGCCAGCACAGCGGAGAAGCATGCCGCTTTCCCCCCGCCTCTGGGGCCCCGGGCGCACTGCGCACTTTGCGTCCCCCACCCCTGCCTCCTTGCACACGGGCCTTGCTCTCCGCGTGGATCTGCTCCGCGAGGGGCAGTCCCGCAACGCACAGGCTTCGGCTACATCTGGGCGACCCGTGTCAGTGGAGGCCAGATGTATTTTCATTCCTTTAGAAGTGGAAACAGAGGCTGGCGCAAGACCGTTTTCTTTGAGGCTGAAGGCAACTGCATAGAGTTTGATACTCAGATGCTGTGAATAGTTCTGTGGACGAAATCAGCATAATGGAAAGCAGACACGGACCAAGCACCGGGGCGTCATCTTACAGCCCCCCGGCCCCCCCTGAGGTCTGGGCTCCTGCCAGCCCACGTGACGGCCGCAACGGTCCCGTCCGCCCCACTCACCAGCCTGTCCTGGAGTCCGGCCTCCTCCTCCTCCTCCGGGTCCTGACTCTGGCGTCCCTGAGCTTAGCGCTGTCTGCTGCTCTGCTGATTCCCCAGCACCCCAGGCTTGGCCACTCAGGCCCCCGGCAGCCCAGCTCTATCAGGCGGCGAACAAGACAGGTGTCCAGAGACCTCACTGCTGGCCGCTTGCCCGCTGGTAGGTCAGAGCGCTGGGCTTCACCTTGTGCAGACCCGGCCTCCTCTGCCCACATCAGGGCGTCTCCAAGTCACTCTGCTTGTCCAGCCTCAGGAGCACAACCGGATAACTGCTGTGTCTCGGCTGTAACCAGAGCAAGTCAGCGGCCATCTTCAGAATCTGTTTCCGCAACAGCAGTGTGGCCTAAACACGCGGGAGTGGTTGAAGCCAGCCGTCGGTGCTGAGGCGGGGTCACCGGGATCTGGACATGTGACCCCAAGCCCAGCTTTGCCGCAGGGCACAGGGGACAGGGCGCAGGGCACAGGGCACAGGGCACAGGGCGCAGGGCACAGGGCACAGGGGACAGGGCGCAGGGCGCAGGGCGCAGGGGACAGGGAGCAGGGCACAGGGCACAGGGCGCAGGGGACAGGGCGCAGGGCGCAGGGCACAGGGGACAGGGCGCAGGGCGCAGGGGACAGGGCGCAGGGCGCAGGGCGCAGGGGACAGGGCACAGGGCTCAGGGCGCAGGGCGCAGGGGACAGGGCGCAGGGCACAGGGGACAGGGCACAGGGCGCAGGGCGCAGGGGACAGGGCACAGGGCACAGGGCGCAGGGCACAGGGCGCAGGGCACAGGGGACAGGGCACAGGGGACAAGGCACACGGGACAAGGCACAGGGCACAGGGCTCCTAGCCTGAACCTGGGGAGAGTGACTGAGCCCCCAGAGCCGCTGTGTTTCATGGGCAGCAGTGTGTGCTCACTTCCCATCGGGGGCTTCAAAGGCTTAATCGAAGGGGAATCCAGTCTCCTGGGAAATGTCACAACTGGTCGCTTAGGCAGTGGACACTTCAGTGTCGGCCCTGGTGACCAGCGGTGCCCAAGTCACCCAGGGCGCCCCTTGGACCTGGCAGAACCGTGTCACAGAACTGAGAGTGCTTGCATCCTTTGCTAAGTTTTAACAAAGCCCAGAGGGTCCCAGCCCCTGGCCAACCAGGATCTGTGTGGCTTTTGTGCCAAACTCTTGCTTCCGAGGGCTTTGCTGACATGGGGTGCTTACTGAACGTACTGTTTTCTTGATTCCGATGGAAAATGTTGGCAGTGGGGGGCGGAGGGTGCTGAAAGGGGAGAACAGGGAAGCATAGATCTTATCCGGAGCCTCTGCAGGCACGTCCAGCTCGTGTGAGATTAACTGTGAGATTAAGTTAAAAACCGTAGCCATTTAGACAAAACCAGCGCTTTGTGTTTGTTTGTGTTGCATTGGCCATTTCGGGTCAAGTTCAGCCTCAGGACAGTTAGGCCTCCCTCCCTCTGGGCCTCTGGAATTGGGCCAAGAACCTTCTAATTGATTGTTTAATTATGGAGGTTTCCAAGTTACAGCAACTTGGAGCCTCTCCATGATTTATTCTGCAAAATAAAAACCTCTCTTTCCCCGCAGATCTGTGCCAGGAGTAAATAACCCTCCTGATTCAGGAGACTGGACAGCATCTTCTAGAAAGAAGCTCACAAGTCCAGGGCAGGCATGACTTGGCCATGGTGTTTTTGACAGTAAGTTCCATCTTGTTTGTTTTTGGTTTATATATATATATATATATATATATATATATAGCCTCCCAAGATTCTCTTGATAAAATACAAATGCATTTTGGGAAAGTCAGGCAGTTTCGAGAGGCTGACCGTGCAGAAGCTGCAAGGCCAGAGGGTCTGGAGTGGATGGGGATTCTCGAGAGCCAGACAGGGCTCTGGCCTGTGCCCGTCCTGCAAATAGGAGGACTCCGGGGGCAGCCCCCCAGGCCCACACGTTCAGGGTGAGAAAGAGGCGAGAGCATATGAGGTTAGACCGTGTGGTTCGTGTTGGCAAACCCCAGGGCAGTGGGGGGAGGGTCAGGCCTCATGGGCTGGACTTGAGGGACCCCTGGGATCTCGCCAGGCCCAGGGGGACCCTGAGCCTCTCTGGGCTAAGCCTGGAAGGACTCCGGGGACTCTGAGAGGTCCCCAGTGGCCCTGGGCTCAGGGGTGCATCAGGCAGGAGGTGGCTGCCCCCTCGTGGGGGCCTGGGCCGTGCTGATGGGAAGGGGGTGGTCTCACTGGAGACTGGAGGATGCGCTATCTTCAGACAGACCTTGAGGACAGAGGGAACAGTTGGCTTTGTCTGTTTGTCTTGACTTCTTGTCAGCCAGGAGGGGCTGTTTAGAAAAACAGACGGTAAATGGAAAAAAAAAAGAAAAAGGAAAACAGAACGATGAAACCGATGAGGAGGCTGGGGCAGAAACAGACGAGAAGCAGGGATCCCTGCTGGCATCCACGGAGATGGCGGGCTTTCAGCAGCGGCTCTGGTGGGGGGTCATTGAGAGACTTTGTCCAGAAGGCAGGCCTGCCTGTGGGGGCTGTTTCAGGGAGCGCGTCCCCGGGCCCAGCCTGTGTGAGGGCCAGGGCTGGCCGTCCTGACCGAGGCCACGGGGGGCTTTTCCGGGTGGCAGGAACAAGACCTCAGCCTGGGTCTGTGTCCACTCAGGGCACCAGGTCAGCCTGGTGCCACCTTGTCTCTGAGCCGGAGTCCCTCCTCCTAACCCGCCGGCCTCACTGACGGGCTCTCAGAGGCGACCCCCGGGGACTCCCCGTGCCTGCGGCGGCTCCTTGTGCTTCTGCCCTAATTTATCTGATTTGGCAGATGGCCTGGGCTGGAAAAAGCCAATGATTGGTTGGCAGCCTGAAAATGATCATTCCCTTTCCCCTAAAGAAAACTGAGAAACCTGAGTGAAGAGCTATCATTTCCACGTGAATGTTTTACAAAGAGAAATTTGAAGTTTCTCGTCTAAAATTCTACATTCTCAAGTTAGCTGCGTCTATCTGACACATAAAATTACACTTTCTGTTTTCTAAGTTTTTACCAGTCGATAAGTTAAAGGTTAAACAATATGACTCCGAGGTGTGAATGTGCTTGCAATTTACTACCAACAGCTCATTAATCACGCAGCCGAAACAAGCTTTCAGAGAGGTCTGGAGTGACTGCACTTGGCAAGTCACAGGGGGTGATGCTGGTACTTTTTCTTAAACTTTCCTTTAAACTCACAAAGTTTCCTGTGATGAATGGGGCTGAACTGACTCGGCGTCCCCTCCCCTCGTGGGCAGGGCAGCCCTGGACGACTGTGGGTGGGGCCACTCGGGGTCCAGGCGGGGCCCCGGAGCGGGGGCTCCAGGGCTGTTCGCGTCCGCGGAGCGCTGCTCTGCCAGAGGAGCGGATGCAAGAAGGAGACAGAAGCCTAGTGTGCGTTCAGACAGAAAATCCAGGACCTGCCACGCGCCCCTGTTGTGTTAGCTGCTGGGCGTGCAGGAGAGAGGCGAACGCGTTCTCATTCCCGAGTCCCGCCCCCTGGCACCGCGTCCTGGGCGCTGAGAGCCACAGCAGGGCTGCATGCGGTCACACCGACGTCCGCCGCTCCTCCGCCTGTCCCTCGAGGAAGGTCTGCAGGGTGGAGAACTTGGTCGCACCACCCACCATCCAGGAGCCGAGCTGCTCACTCCCAGGGGTCTGTGTCCTGGTGCCGCAACCCTGCCCATTGCCCTGGGACGCAACCTGCCCACCCGGCTGGGTTCCTGCAGGTCTGGCGTGGGCACAGGAAGTAAGGGCCGTTTGTGGATCTCAGAGCTGCCAGCGTCTTGAGCCAGCCCTGAGAAGCTAGGGCACAAACCAGCAATTCACATTCTCACGATTTTTGCAAAAAAAAAAAAAAAAAGTACTGATAAAGAAATGATCTTAACCTTCGTAGCAAAAGAAGAGTCTAAGCTGTTACTGTGTTTGGTGATTTGAAAACCCGACGCCTGCCGGCTCTAGTTGCCCGGGGTGAAGTTCCGCCCCCTCGCCGCCCCTCTGCGCCCACCCGCGCTGCCCCGCCCGTCAGCCTCTCATCTTCCCGCCGACGAGCCTCTGTTAGGGCTGGGCGCCTGTGGACGTCCCGGCTGGACTCGGACCACGCCGGGGCAGAGACTGAGATGGTCTCACAGTTCTGGACTAATAAACCGTAAACACATACTGTCTTCACTTCCGGGGAATGCAAACCACTTCTGAAGGCCTTCGTGGCAAGGATGGAAAAACGCATCTGTGAGAGGGATGACCCCTGCCTCATACCTGGGCCCCTGTGACTCTGCCCTGGTCAGAGGCCGCATCCCGGGGGGCACACGCGAGCCCCTGGTGGGGTCGGCGGGGCCCTGCGAGAACTGGGGCGCCCCACCCTCCGCCTTCCCCCCAGACGGTTTCTTCCTGCACGACCGCCTCCAGCTCACGGTGCTCGGGGAAGCGCTGGATTCAGAAGCCCACACACAGGACGCTCCGCGCTGACCGTGACCGAGGGCCCTTCACGCCTTCATCCCCTCCACGGATGCTGTGTGCTCTTGGGAGCCTTCCCTGAGCTGCCCTGTCATCCCCGGTGGCCTGCGCCTATGAGAAGCTCAGGGTGGTAAGTGGCCCCGGGTCCCAGCACCTCCCACCACTCAGCCTACGCTCCGCACCCCCAGCTGAAGCATAGAGCACGAAGCCGGGAAATCACAGACGACCTTGCCGCCCGGGGCCCCCGCAGCTGTACCAGAGCAGCTGCGGCCCCGACGAGCCCAGTGTCCTTCCGTTCCGGGTCCAGCCTCCCTTCCGGCCACTGCTAACCGCGACTCCACGGTGGCATTAGCTGGATGAAGAGCCTAATTAAGTTTTAATTACCCTGGGTGAGGCCCCCAGGTGTGACTCACTTGCTAATTAGATAAGCAACAGGATTTGTTCTGAGCACCGGCCTGGTAAAACACGGTCCAATCCCATCTCTGTAAAGGTTAAGAATAAATTAAAAAGTCTTTAGAAATAAAATCTCCACAGTTATCAAGTTTAAACTACTCTCGAGGCCTCGGCAAGGTGGAGGGTGGAGGCCCAGCATCCTGGCTTGCCCCCCATTCACAGGCAGGGGCTCTGATGTGGGAGCTGAAGTGATAAGACGGCCCCATTCATGGCGAGCACCATTAAGGAAGGCCCCGCTGGCTGCTTTCTCTTAATGAATACAGAAATTTCCCTTTTATAAATGTGATGAGGAACTAGCAGCAGAACGCGGTAAGGACAAGCCAGGAAGGGCAGGAAGGCCCCCGTCACAGACGATGGAGCCACCTCCCCTACCGGGCTCCTCTCGGGCGCACCCTCTCCCAAGACCTTGGTGCCTTTTTGATGACAGACCCTTAAATCCAAGAGAAAAGTGGATGACCAGGCTCTGGCTCTGTCTTTTTCTGTGATGTGGGGACATGCCAGGGTGAGGCCCAGCCCATGGACAGCCCAGGAAGCCAGCCTGGAGGAGGAGGAGGTGTCGTGTCTGGACCATGTCTGACGGACTCCACGTCCAGTAGCGGCTGCAGGCCAGGCTGCTAGGTGGGCACTCTTGGAGGAGCCGGACACACATGTTCTCAAATGTGGCTGAAGGCCTGAGGGCTCAGGATGTGCCAGGACCGGGACCCAGAGGATGAAACCAGGAGGCAGGAACTGGCTCCGGAGGGAGATGAAGGGACCCTGAAACCCATACGAGAGGTCTCAGCGCCTCAAAGGACATTGCTCTCATCTTGGAGCAGGGACACCAGAAACAGTCTGGGCCTCACTGTGGGATCCATGTCTGAATGTCTCATCCTGGAGATAAGGAAAAACAGGAAATAGAGAAAGTCCCTAGTTATTCCGTTTCCTGACTGTATTCAAGTCCTCTGTCCCTTCAGACTGAGGGTATCAGAAGCAAATCTATGAAGGAATAACTCAGCCAGAGCTTCAGATTACCTCTGAGATGACTCACATAAAATCCAGGAGAGCAAGAGGTCAGACCCACGGGGAATCCAGGTTGGGATTTTCAGACGTGGGCTGTATGACAGCTATGATAGCAAGCACAGGAAGTACAGTGAAGCAGAAAGTTTTGGCAGGAAACTGGAAGCTGTGATACAAGAGGGTCCCTAGGCTGAGGCTGGGGGGTGGAGAAGGGTGATCTTGGTACAAACTCTGAGTGATGGAGTTTTGGGATCTGATGCACAGCATGGGGACTACAGCAAACAGTACCACTCTGTGTGCCTGAAATTCGTGAGGGAATAAATCTTAACTGTTCTCACCACACCAACAAGTGAAAAAAAAAAAAATGGTGACAACATGAGGTGATAGGCATGTTAGATAGCTTGATCGTGCTGATCATTTCAAGATGAACGTGGAAATCGAAACATCGCATTGCACACCTTAAAAAGATACCAGTTTTGTCAGTTGTACCTCAGTGAGTCCAGAAAAAGCAAAACAACAAAAAAGTAGTGTACAAATCCTCATTGTCCTGTTTGACTTAAAAATACATCTTCAGTAACTGATAGAAAAGACATACAAGGAGCCAGCAAGGAATGAAGCAGCTAATGTGCTAGGTCAAATTCTCGTAAACCACCACGTGAACAGGGAAAAGAGAAATTGCACCAGCTGATGCAGAAAAATCTATTTGATAAAATACCACATATATATTTTAAAACATTTGTTACATTTGATACATACCATATATATATATATGAACATACACATTATACACACAAAATCAACAGCATCAACAAAAGGATGTGGCAAACTAGGAACAAAAAGACACATAAAAAACCTACAGCAAAGTCAGTTGGCTGTACAAGATGAAACTCCTCTCTCAAAGTCAGGAAGGAGACCAGAAATTCACCATCACTACTGATGTTTAACTAGCATGGGAAAAAAAAAATCAAGATTAAGAAATAATACATGAGAATTGGAAAGGAAAAACACAGCGACCCTTCTATGTAAATAACCTGATTATGTATGCAGAAAATCCAATAAAGTAAACAGATAAACTTAAAAAATTGATAACTAAATTTAGCAAGACATTGGATAAAGATCAACATACAAAACATTTTACCTCTCAGTTCAGTTCAGTTCAATTCAGTCACTCAGTCGTGTCCAACTCTTTGCGACCCCATGGACTGCAGCACGCCAGTCCTCTCTGTCCATCACCACCTCCTGTCCATTGAGTCAATGGTGCCTTCCAACCATCTCATCCTCTGTCATACCCTTCTCCCCTCACCTTCAATCCTTCCCAGCATCAGGGTCTTTTCCAATGAGTCAACTCTTCGCATCAGGTGGCCAAAGTATTGGAGTTTCAGCTTCAGCACCAGTCCTTGCAATGAATATTCAGGACTGATCTCCTCTAGGATGGAATGGTTGGATATCCTTGCAGTCCAAGGGACTCTCAAGAATCTTTTCCAACACCACAGTTCAAAAGCATCAATTCTTCCGCACTCAGCTTTCTTTATAGTCCAACTCTCACATCCATACATGACTACTGCAAAAACCATAGCCTTGACTAGATACAACTTTGTTGGCAAAGTAATGTCTCTGCTTTTTAATATGCTGTCTAGGTTGGTCATAACTTTTCTTCCAAGGAGTAAGCGTCTTTTTATTTCATTCACCTCTACGTACCAGCAATAAACTATTAGAAAACACAATTTAAAATTTACCTTTTTAGGGACACAAAGAGTCAAATATTAGCAACACACCCAACAAAAGATATGTAAGACCTTTATGACAAAATCCAGAAAGCATTATAGAACAAATTAAGACCTAATTGAATTGAAAGGCTCAATCATTTTAAATATGTCAGTTTCTGCAGTGTTTTATGGGTTTAATATAAAATCTTAGCATAATTTATAAGGTTAAGAAAATCTTGTAGAGGAACAAATTTGGAATAATTGTAGACTTACAAAGCTACAATAATTAAAAACTGAAGAATTGTCACAGCATGGATGATAGACCCAGGAATAGAATAGACAGAGAAGCCCGCAGCAGCTGGCCACGCAGCTGAGGGCAGTGGACACCTCAGAGAAGCGGTAAAGCCCAGCCTTCCCTGTGAGCGGGCCATTCTGAAGAATTATCATGTGGCCCTAGTGCTCAGCATCAGCAAAACCCTCCAGGGGAGGGTAGATAGAAACGTACAGGCAAACGAGGACCCGGTGGACGGTGACAGTCAGACATCTGGGCTACCTCGAGGAGGACCCCTCTGTTAACAAATGGAAAAAGAACCAACCAGCAAGGGAAGGAGTAATAAAGGGGCCATACTGAAATTATGAAAGTCTGTCCACAAAAATATTGTCAGAAAAGATAGTCAAGACAGTGTGGGAACAGATATCTGCAAAACTCCTGCCTGTATTCAAGCGAGAATTCTCCTGCAACAGTAAGAAAAGACGGGCTCTCCCCGGACACAGCGCGATGGTGCGGGCTGGGCCGCCGAAATGGACCTTCGCTGAGCAGAGGAGAGTGGGTTCACCAAGGACACGGCCACTGAGCCTCAGCAGGAGGCCGCTCCCCCCGGCACAGCTGAGCCCAGATGACGACATCACGAGTGTGTGATTCATCTTTACAAGGTTCAAAAATACACAGAACTAACCCACGATGATGACGACGGAAGCCAAGATGATAGTTAGCTTAGGGTGGCAGGCGCATCATGGTGCTCTGATGACATTTCGTTTAAACATGCCTTGAGTGGGGCTTCCATCAGTCACTCAGCCGTGTGTTGGACACTGTCCTGAATGCACGAATAATGAATAGCGCTTAATAGCACATGAATTCATGAGAAAAATCAGGAAGCCAAGAAGGAGAAGTGCCATCCCATGTGGAGCCAGAGATGAGGGCCTACAGGGGCCTGATGGGGTTAGGACCTTCCCCTAAAGCCCTCAAGGCCACTGGGACCAGGGCGATGGCTGAGTGGGCATCAGTGTAGACGGGCTGGGCTGAACAGAGGTGGGCATCGGGCTGGGAGCTGGCCACAGGGGCAAGCTTGCCTTCTCTTTGATGGGAGCGGGCTGCAATCTCCTTCAATCTAACTTTTGACTTTAAGACTTTGTGATGCAGAATCATTGTGTTTATTACCATAATGATTCAAGACCTTAGAACTGCTGTGAGCTGACATGGTATATATATTTTTGTCTGAAACAAAGGAACTTAGTTTTCGCAAATTGTTAGAGACTTCAAAAAATGCATTTCATTCTCAGATGTATTCTCAAGAGCAGTGACTCACGGCTCAGGCTGGTTCAGAAGCGATCTCTAAAGAGAGGCACAATTTTTCCTGAATCTCATTTGCAAGGAGGCCGTGGCTGGCTCTGGGCCCCCACCCAGACGGCCGGGTCTGACTCCAGGAGCCCTGAGTCAGCCAGCCCAGGAAGGGCACCGTTGCTCACCCAGGGACCTGGGCCGGCTCGGGTCAGAGGGGCAGGGGGCACACTGCTGGCCCTTCTTCTGCTGAAGTTCATGATTGGGTTTGATATTCACCCTTTGGCCACTGAGCGAAT